TATAAATTAACTTCAACAATATATTCAACTTCCTAATAATGCTACTTCAAACAGAGAACAAGTTTCACAGACAACAATGACTTTTTAAACCATATTCTTATACTTTCTAATACTATTGCATTCATATACATTACTGATATTTTACTTTTTTTGGGTTCATGCAGGATGCTTACAACATTTGAGTTTCATAATTTACAACTCGAAAAGCATACCATGTTAACTACAACATTAATAGTTGGTCTTACATAAAATAAGTCCCATATTAACTACTATTCTAATATTCAAAACATATTCTTTAATAAATAACATACACACCAACTTCACTTTAACATCCAACAACATTTGCCTCTTTATCATCACCTTTCATCAAACTTCCTGCTGCAACTGTTTATGATTCACAAGGGTGACAACAACCCTACTTGATAGAGGGTTGCAGAGACAAAAGGTAAGCTTATCACCTTTTCTGAGACATTTATTCTTAACAAAGTCATACCACCCCTTTCCAATGTACCTTTCAACACAATACTCTCTTTCTGCAACATGAAGTTTGCATTCATAAATTTTGAGGAAATTTATATACATAAAACAAAACATATAGTATCAATAAACTAGATCATACTTACTTACTTTGTCTTATATTATTGCATGGAAAGATTAATCTACTTACAAGGACATTTTTTGATGCAGTCCTCCCACAAGATATTTCCTTTTTCCACAAATAGTACCAGGGTCGACTATTATTGTCACCATCAGCCTCCACTTCATTACAACTACATTATAAATTCAACCATTACAACCTTCTTTCACAATGATATATGAAATAATTTGTAACCATAATCAACATCATTGAAGGTTTGAACATATATTATAAAATATGCAACACATTTTGTAGTTCATCAGTTACTTATCAATGTTTGAGGAAATATTTATGTAAGAAGATCCATTGGAATCTTCCAAAATATCTCTGGCATAAAGCTTGCACTTCACAGAAACAACTTCATGCCGAAACGACTTCTTCCCTTTTCTTACACTTTTCCCCTTCTTACGTAGAAGTGTTGCATGCAGCTTGCTTTTCTCAAAAACACCTCTACCATTGACATACTCTTAACTTGATACAATATTTTTCCTCTTTCTATCTTTAACTCTTTAAGCTATACCACCGTCAGAAACAGATAATTGTGGGTTTTTCTCCTCCAATATCTCAGAAACAAGGGTTGTTTGACCTGACCCAAAAACCGCAACAGATGATCCCACGTGATTCTCTCGAATTTTATCCCGATCGAGACCTCCATCTCCTAACCCAACATAACCAACCAAGGATCCACCATGTTTGCTTTGCATCATATGACCACCACCAACGAATGTGCCTCCATTTTTTCCTTCTTCTTTCGCATTCCTAGAAATGGTGAAAAAGGTGCTGCTACCTGTGCTTTTTCCTTCACCAAACTGTATTCTTTAACCTCTTTGAGATGCTTACGGTAAGCCATAGATCTGTAAAACCAATATCACACAATAATGAAAATCTTAAAGTGTAAACAATTCAACTACAAAAACATGCAACCCTAATCTTATGTTACTAGCGATTTTATCTGGCTTCCTGAGAAGTCAAAGGAGTGTTGGTTGCCATTTCTCAGAACCTACACAAAGAGACAACACTCAATAATGACTCTTGACTTTTTATATTACACTGTAACACTACAACATTTCAACCTTTTTAAAATTGAGACTTCTTGGTTTATTTTTCTCTCTATAATAATTTTACTTTTTAACTATATTTTAAAAGGTTCCTCTATTTTTATTTATTATTTATTTTGTTTTTTTTTCTATTAATATTTATGATTTACACACTAATATTTTAAACAATGTCACATCTTTTTATTTTATATTGCATTTAATATGTTTAAACTACTCATTTGCGGGTTCTGTTATCCTTTTTCAGGACTTTGTTATTTGGCTTTTTAGTTTCTACTACATGTAACATATGTGAAATCCAATTGTTGTGACCCAAACATAATTGAAATCAAGTTATTATGACCCAAACCAACCATTATTTGTTTCTTATTAGATGAGACCACTTTTAATTTGTTATGTTGATTCCCCAACATCAATATATTTCTTTTCAAATTGTTGTATTGCTAATATATCTAAACAGTACAACTTTTTTCACCGATGAACAACTTTCTATATTGGCAAAATTTGTATTGAAATCAATACTAACTTTATAAGTTTAGCTTTCTAAAAAACATACAATGCAAATTTCTTTCAAAATATAACAAATGTTTTTAATAGAAAACATAACTCAATTTCAACTAGCATAGCTAAGAAAATATTGATAAGGCTAATGCAGGATGATTACATAACCAATGTTTCAAAATTAACATCTGATAGCATAACCATTTTACACATTACATTCATTAAATTCATATAACAACATTGGTACAAAAAACAATTGATATAAAACTTCTAAACTATCTTCTTAGACATATCCAACACAACCGAAATTTAATCCTCTTCGTCCAACATTCAAACACTTCTTCGGAAACTCTATTCTTCAATGATTCAACACGGTAACAACAATCTTTTCTCCAGGAGGGTCTCTAAGTCTAAATGCAACCTTATCACCTTTCTTGAGCCGCCTGTCCCTCACAAACTCATTCCAACCATCACTTAAAAACCTTTCAACATAATACTTCCTTTCTGCTACATGAAGTTCACAACCATATCTATTTCCAGTGTTCGAATCAACCAACTCAATGCGCCTATGAGACCTGTGCTACAAGTTTCTTATCACCTTTTTTCAGGGATTTGCTACAAACAAGTTGGAAATGCATTTCAACAAAATATTATCACAATAATCAATAAGTGAATTCATGGGTCTACTTAGAAACACATTCTTTGTGGGTTTCTTACCAGATTTTTTTTCCTTTTCCATATAATATAGCTTAGGCGTTTTTCCACATCTTCATCACTTTCCTCATATTCAGAACTGCATAACCATAATATAACTTCTTTGTTTACTTCATATAAAACCATGAAAAATAACTTAAACATTAAATGCTAATACTTCATTTATTAACTATAACTATTCACTTTTATATATTAGTTAAATACATATATACCTCTCATTGTCTAAAGAAATTGAAATATGTAAACTTCCAGCACCACAATCGCCTTTCACTCTCTTAGCATCCTTTTTATCCTTACTTGTTTCAAAGAAATGTGTCACATGCGCATTTCGTTTGTCAACAATATTTGGCTAATCATTGGAGGGTCTAACAAATACTACCCTTTTCCCTTTATAGTCTTTGACTTTCTCACGTTCCATACAACCCGATACAGATGAACCCCCATGTCTTCCTTTGGATTTGACACCATCTACAACCCAGGATCTATAGTGTTTGTAATCCGTCATTGAAGCATCAACATTCGATGATCCATCTTATTTTTATTTACCTTTTATGCAACCATCAACATGGGTACCAGATCTTGCTTTTTCAGCATTCTTCCTAGCTTCCATAGCTACCCGAGCCTCTTCCATGTCCCTACGAATTGCCTTCTCTATGCTTATTCTTCTCCAAATGGTTTCTGCCTCCAAATCTTCAATGGTTCTGCAAATAAAATAGATACAAAAACGTAGCATATCAAAATATGGACACAACCATTTACTGATACATCAATAAATGGTACATGGGATACATGATTATACCTTACAAAGGGGGTAATAAGATTGATGCTTGACATTGTTTGATGGAAGTAAAAAGTTGTTGACCTTGAAAACCGCAATTTTTTTCCAGAACAAATACTTTTTAGAAATGCTTAGGTGTGTTGTAAACCTTCCGTATTCAATCTATCATATTTATATTAATTGGAATCCTACTTCCATTATGCCCATCAACTAATTCAAATGGGTCTCTGGCCCATTATATCCATAATAACGCTGATCCATCTAAAAATTACTTATGAATACAAATTTACTACTATCATATTTATTATATAGTTTTTTAAATTTATTTTTTACTTTTTTGGAAAAATCAAATTAATATGGAATATTTTCATAAAATGGTGATAATATATTTTTTTAATTGTGATTGTTGAAACAAAGCAGTTTTAGCAGATTAAATGCTCCTTACAAAATAACAACATCTTTTTTAAAGACAAAACAACACAATAACCCAAACTTCAGCAGCCATCATCCAATGCCTTCCTTTCATCACCAAACATCAAATATTCTTAACCAAATCTTGATTGTTTTACAATTGTCACAACAAGCCTCTGTGTTGTAGGGTCAAGCCTCCTTGATGGACGGTCCCAAATGCAAAATAGAAGCTTATTGCCTTTTTGGAATCATCTGTTCTTCATAAACTCATACCAACCCTTTCCAATAGACCTCTCCACACAATACTTTATTTTTGCATAATGAAGTTCACATTTGTAGATCTTCTTTGTATCGGAATCACGAAACTCAATTTGTTTGTGACCCATATGTAGACAATTTGTGATTACTTTTTGTGAAAATTGCTTCATATAACACAAATTACATTTTATAAATACAGGGGATTTAACATAGATATTATGACTTATAAGAGTGAGTACAAATGTTACCATACTTACTAAAAAAAATTTGCCAGCTGTCTTCCTGCATTTGATTTCCTATGTTCAAAGGAAGTACTGGTGATTCTGCTTGTACTTAATAACCACAGAGTCACTGTGGGCACACTTTTGAACAGATGCAACCCTTTTCCCCTTTCTAATATGGATTTTGAAGTAAATCCTCTGCATTTAATCACCATCATACAATCAAATTTATTAATCTTAAATTTGCAACTTTCCTATCTGCGCGAATTATATTAATTGAACTATTCTTTACTAAACCTTTCTTACCTCTCGCTATCATTTCCATCCACACTACAATCATTCAATGCTTCAACCACACATCCAACTTAAGTATCACCATTTAAATCTTCAGAACCAAACCCTAACTTACCTTTTCCCTTTGCGTCTTAAGTAACAACTGCTTCCTGACTCTTGGCCTTCAAACCTTCATCACCACTCCCATCCATCAACTTACTTTTCTGTTTTTTCGATGACCCATATGTGACAATTTCCCAATTCTTCTTCCAATCTGCAGCAAATCGCCACTTTTCCAAAGTCGCAAATATCACTCTCTCTGCTAAGTCTTCTCCATTCTGTATCTGGAGGTAACCCTTGGAAGGATCTTTCAAAATAACACGAAAAAAAAAGCATGTCTCTGGGTAAGTGTGAAAACAAATACATAATACACACATGCAAAATTGATAAATGAAGAATCAAACCTTTCACGTCCTCTAAATACACCTTCAGACGTCATCTTGTGATGGAAGAAGATAGTTGTTGTTGTTGTTGTTGGAATGCACAAAAACTTGGTCTACTGAAGCGTTTCCACTTTCACGTTATTTGTAGTAATGACTTTGGGCCGGTGTCTTGAAATGTTTTCCTGGGCCCGATCCATTTCAGAAATACAACCCAATTTTCTTTTTATTTATTTATTATTTGGTCCTAATATTTTTATTTTGGTTCTAATTACACGATTATCTATTAAATAATTACATAATTAATATTTATTTAAATATCTTTTTTAATAACGCTATTTACACATATTTTAATTATATTCAAATGATTTAAATATCTCAAAATATTTACATAACAAACTTAATGACTATTTTTATTCTTTTTTTAAATTTTTAGTTTCATTATAATTTTACTTAATTACAATCTTTTCACATAATTTTACTTAATTACAATCTTTTATACCTAATTAACAAATATATTTTCATTTACACATACATATATTTCTCAAAAAAATTACACATTCATTTTGTAAAAAAAAACATTTTTTATTAAAACATCATTCTGATCTTCAAACAAATTCGCATTTCATTTTAAAAAATGCGTGTCCCATACCTGACATTAGATTATTCTGTAAAATAGATTATTTGATAGATTAAAAACGACCAGACATTTTTGAATTGGTTAAGTTTCACTGTTTGTTAATTATGTATCTTCTCTAAAATTATTTCTTTAGTTGACGATAGAATTACTAAATTAATTATGATTAATTTCTTGGCTCATAACTCCATTCTATAATCACAATCGAATATTTCAACATGTTGTTGGGAAAAATCGACATATAGAAAATAAAAAGAACACAATCACAACACAAAAACATAACGTGGAAATTTCAAAAATGGGAAAAAAACCACGACCGTGAAAATTTCTATAACACATAATATATCCTCAACTAAATCAGGTCCCGAGTATCCACACCCCTCCAAAATAAATATTTAACTACATCTCACAACACTCTAATACAAGAGTATAAGAGAACAAATAAAGCCAAATACAAACTTGAAGTGCTTTTGTCTGGTGCATATTCAAACGAAGAAATTGAATCTTATATATAGCCTTTGACTTCCTCTTCATTCACTAAACTAAATCATGCGAGACTTAGAAAATTTTTAATCCTCTATATAGCTTTGAACTCCCTCTTCCTTCGTAAAAATAAGTGATGTATGATTTCTTCAACTTGTATATTTTCTACTAACCCCAACACATGTCTAAAACTATTATTGATTGAAAACTTAAATTAAATCGATATTCAAAAGGTGTTGTTAACAATCAATTTCAACTTAGATTTAGTTTATACATTCATCAACATACATAAGACTTTAAGCATAAATTTAACTAAATAACACTTAGATTGCAATTTCATTAAACAATCGTCTTCAACAATTATACTATTTAAATAGCTCAAAATAAATTCATCTAAAGGTCTAATTTAGCTAGTTATAGTGTAAACTTTCATAGCCATTGAGTATAAAGAATTAAACATGAATTATAGATGAAATTTGAGTAGAAACATCTAAAATAGTCATCTTTAATCTTGCAGTTGTCTTCAAAACCATCCAATTTGAAATTGGCTTTTTTACCTTTATATTAGGGTTCAGAAAGCGCCAAATTGTGCCACAATGTTTTCCAATCGTTCAACAATTGTTTCCTTAGTCCATCCATTCAGACCACCTCATGATTTTTTCAGAATTGATTTTCTTTTTCTTGCTTCAAATTTTTTCATTTATTTCTTCTTTTGTCAGTTTTCTATAATATCTGAACTATTGTTAAATTCATATACCAATCAAGTAATTACATACCAAATACTATCACAAATATTCTAAAAAAATGCTATAAAGCTATAATAAGAGAGATTATCATCACAACCCAAAACTTTAACTATTATTTGTCCTTAAGGAATATGCTTAAAAAATGAAAATTTACAATAAAGTAACATTCCTATTTAACCAATGATACTCACAAAATCCAAACTCAGATATTAATTTTATTATCAACTTCAATTCAAACAAGTCCAAGGAATTCTTCCAATCTTTTAGTTATACTAGACATTTCTATCTTTTTTTTCATGCTTTCACTCTATTGAATATTAAAGTGATCACTTAATCAACACATAACTATTTTATCATAAGCTTGAATTTTTTTAAACAATTAATTAAAGTCAATATTAGAACACACATTTTTAAGGTCTTTCGAGGTTGTAACGAGTCTCGTGTCAAGATGAGTATTTTTGGGATAAAATGCTTGAAATTTGAAGTTAAAATGCTATTTTTTTTGTTTCACAACCATCCTTCACCTATTACGTACCAAATCAAGAATACTAGAAAACAACTTATTCAATTTTTTTTTGAAGAAACTATATTTATTTTTGTTTTATTTTATATCTATTCTTTTTAATTCTTTTTTTTTTTTTTGAAGAAGCCATTTTAACTTTGTTTTTTTTACTATTTTGTGTAACCAAGTTCTCTAGTACCCCGTCCTTAAATTTAATATGTCACTAGTTACAAGAGCAACCCAATCTTAAGCATTTACATTAATAAGGAAAAATAAAAATTTCTACCTAACTCCAAACAAGATGGAAAGATTAATCTTTCAAGTCAATATACTAATAATATTTTCTAAGTCACCGAACAAAAAAGGCTATAAGGCTCAAAGGAGTTTAAAAACATATAATTTTAAATATAGGGTGGTTTGAAAAGGCTCGGAGCACCAAACAAATATGTATCAATGTGTATAACAAATATGACCAATTAACTAATCAAAAAAATTACAAGTTCTAGAAAAGAACAATTGCATCGATACATGCAATAACAAGGAAAAACACCGTTAGAGTGGGTTATTGCTGATGATATTGGGTATTGACATCACTAAATTTCTAGTCAAACTGGGGTGGATCAACATACAAGTACTCAGAGATGCCCATGGTCTAATTAGCCATATCCAAATCAAAATTGCGATACTTAGGACGCGATTGGGCAACACTTGACTTTTGTGGAACCTTTTTCTCACTCAGTTGGTACTCAGATTCCTCTGCATCACTTTTGCTTGTTTGACGCACTAGAGTCCTTATCAAACCATCCATGTAGTCCTTTTTGATTTCTATATTGGGAGGCAATAAGATTTCTCCCTTCTCTCAAGGGACATCAACTGATTTTCACAATTCATTGATGATAAAACAGTTCCCAAAAACCTTCTAGTTTGAATCCACTACTAGCTTGATATTGTGAGCAATCAACCTTCATGCATTAATGGGGCTATATGAATCACACTACAGATTTTCAAACTTTTTTTTTAAAATAGAAATGTCATACATGATTAGTTTTCTCCCATTAAGCACATTTATACTGCCACTAGGTTGACCTCGTACGAACTTAAGGTTGTGTCTGTACTGGAAAGACCCTCTCAGATGGAATCTCTCATTATATGTTAGGCTCGAGCCTCTCTATCTATTCACCGTGAAAGTATTTGATGATCCCGACTCCTATATTTCTATGGCTGCATATAGTGAGACCTCCCTGACCATAAACAAAATTGACCATTTAGATTCTAATTTTCCTAGGAATAACTTCAACCTTGAGTTGAACAACAACATATGTTGTCTTGGATATAATTCTTGATTCACCTAATTCTTGTCATGGTATGCTTCATCGGCATTCTCATATGCTTAAATCCTAATTTATTCTAACTCGTTAAGTTTCAGCAACCTTTTCCTTCCAATAAGCTTTTCATCAAAATTTAAGAAATTGACCACCAGGTTGCCTTGTGCTCAAGCTCAACTAGTAAGTGAGATGGATTCCCATACACCAACTGATATAATGACAACCCCAAATAAGTTTTAAAAGCTTTCTTAAATGGAGTAAACGCCTAAAGCGCATGATCCAACTCTTTTCCTAATTCTTCTTTGAAGTGTCCACTGTATTCTCTAGGATTCATTTGTTGATTAGACACTTCAACCTATCTTTAAACCTAGCAAAAATATTATTTTTTTAAAATTTTAATTACCGTATGGGCATCATTAATCTGCACAAGCTATAACTTTAACCCATTCTATGACATATAGTCAACATGAACTAAAATGAAAAGATTAGAGTAAGATGAAGGAAAAGGATCCATGAAGTTGTTGCCCTAACAATAAAATGGTTTAGCTTCTAATAATTCATTTTTAGGAATTTCATTTCTCTTGGGAATATTAACCGTCTTTTGACATTTAGCACAATGTTTAACAGACTATATGCAATCTTTGAATAAAGTAGTCCATCAATAGCCACATTGGATAATTTTCGCAGTGGTTCGTTCTCCACTATGTTGACCTCCAAAAGTTGAGCTATGTTAGTGCCACATGATACTTCGTGCTTCCTCGCCAGCAAAACACCTCTGAATTAAACTTTTAGGACTCACCTTAAACAAGTATGATTCATCCCAAAGATAAAAATTAGATTCCTTATAAAATATCTTCTCATGCTTCCATATTAACTCATCCATAATGATATTTCCGACTTTAAAGTTAGTCATATCAGCAAACCATGGCCTTTTAATTAGTGTAAATATATGCTCTTATGAGAACTCATCTACTATGTTTTTCACTTTCTTAATAACTTCAGAGTTCTCTAGCCATGAAAGGTGTCCAGCTACTACATTTTCATGTCCCTTTTTGTCTTTGGTTTCCAATTCGAGCTCTTGAAACAAAAGTATCCATCTAAGTATTTGGGCTTAGATTCCCCCTTTGTGAGTAGAAACTTAAGTTTTGCATGATCTGTAAAAATAACAACTTTGGAACCAATTAAATACGAATGAAATTTTTCCAAAGCCAATACTACCGATAACAATTCCTTTTCATTAGTAGAATAATCAACTTGATTTTCATTCAGGGCCTTGTTAGTGTAGTATACATCATGGAAACATTTCCCATGTCGTTGGCCAAGAATTGCTCCAAACGCATAATCACTAACATAACACACCAACTTA